TAGGTTGATTGATTTGGTGTTTTGGGTTGATAATGATGATGATAGGTTGATTGATTTGGTGTTTTGGGTTGATAATGATGATGATAGGTTGATTGATTTGGTGTTTTGGGTTGATAATGATGATGATAGGTTGATTGATTTGGTGTTTTGGGTTGATAATGATGATGATAGGTTTATTGATTTGGTGTTTTGGGTTGATAATGATGATGATAGGTTTATTGATTTGGTGTTTTGGGTTGATAATGATGATGATAGGTTTATTGATTTGGTGTTTTGGGTTGATAATGATGATGATAGGTTTATTGATTTGGTGTTTTGGGTTGATAATGATGATGATAGGTTTATTGATTTGGTGTTTTGGGTTGATAATGATGATGATAGGTTTATTGATTTGGTGTTTTGGGTTGATAATGATGATGATAGGTTTATTGATTTGTTGTTTTGGGTTGAAAGGTTGTTTTGTTACTAGTGTTTTGATGATTGCACAAATTGTAACATACGTTTTTTTGCTGTTTTTTTCTTGCTTCTTAATTTCAACTATTATTTTTACTGTCTACTCTATGGTTTTACAGGTCGAGGAGACTATGGCAAAGACATCATATAAAAAGGTAAACTACATGTATTTGATTAGCATTTTTAACTTCCATTATTAGTTGATTAGTTGTTTTAAGTATTATTAATATTTGTTCCTAAAAATTATGGGTTTTGGAGGTACAATATGTTGTTGAAACTAAGTACTGTGAGGTAGACAAATGATATTAAATTCATAGTTTTATGGTTTATCTTTTAATGAAAGCTTGTAGCAAAGGTAAAAATTATATTTAAATTAGATTTCATAAGTATCAAAATTGATGCAGTTAGGCTGGTTGTTATATAATAACTAGTTTGTGGATATGGCATTAGTGAATATCAAGTTACTTTGCTTTTCTGATTTAGATCACCAAGAATAACAGTTCTTCTCGTCAAAAATATGAAAGCAATCCTCTACCTAAAAATGGCAATCAAGTTGTTTGCAATTCACCACCCATGCGCCTTTGTAAGGAACATGCTTTGAACAACAAAGGGGTTAGTATCACTAAATCAAAACTT